CCCCAAAACCCCAAAACCCCAAAACCCCAAAACCCCAGGCCTTCCTCTTCATCCAAACATCAACGTCAAACATTCTATTAATCCCTTCTCTTGCTGAATAACTTCCTGTTTGACCTTCTAAAATCCAGATCTTTTCTACTCGAACTTTTTGAAACCCTCGGCATGCTCACACTAAACATCTCTCTGTTTAGACTCTATAGCGCAACATGAGCTTAACCAGTAGAGTTAAGGGGTAGGCTTGATTTTAGAGTTTAGCAGAAGGGAATAGGCAAAATCAGGGGTTGAGAGTCGAGGTGAAAAGATAGGAAGAGGATTTAGAAAAATTGGGATTATAGGGAGGCTTTGTTAGAGGTAGGTTTAGGTAGGGGTAGGTGGGAGTGGCGAAAGTTATGGGTTTATGAGAACCAGGAGGGATGTTGATGATAAATTGTATTGGTGTTTATGTTATTCTAAGAAGATGTTTAGTAATTTTTATGCTAGAAAATACAACTCTCTTGATTAAATAAGGATTTTTTTTTGTTAAAGTAGATTGTTCAGTGTCTAGATTAAGAAATTTTTTTTGTCTATGAAATATTGTATTGTAAATAACTTCCAGAAAAAGCCTTCAAAATCTTTAATTCTTACCTGCTTTTCTCCATTAAGCACTTCAACTTTGTCACTGGCTTCCTATATCAACAAGAGCTTGAATCTTCCAAGTTAGTATCAGAACTAAGTTAATTTTGCTGAAATTATAAACTCTATCCATAAAAATAATGCATCATTTGATCTCAAATATGCTAACAAAATCTTAAAGATGATAGGAAGTCTCTAAATATTTTCAGGATGATTCGTCAGAAAGTAAGAGACTGAATACACAGACCAAATCAATGCCAATGAACCTTACTTCTTCTTTTGCTTTGAGAAACTTCTTGATATTTTTACTGGAGAATATTATTCTCTTTTTCTTCTTAGATAAAAGTCTCTTTCTGCCTAAAATAATTAAAAAAGTCAGAAGGAAGCTTACTTCCTTTAAACTTTATTCTTCTCTTGGGTACTCTAACTCTAGCTCGCTTCTCATGATTTTGAGCGTTTGGCTTTGGAGTCTTTAGAGAATCCTCTGATGAAACTCTGGGCTTCCGAAGAATAAAAGCAAATATTTTGAAGATCTATTGGTTAGAGAATAGTTACTAGTTGGAATATCTTTGAAGAGTCTTTGAGATCTTTTGATAGCAAGTAGATCCAGCTGATGAAGAAGTAAATATTTATGATAATTCAGAAAGTTAGTGACAAAGTATTCAGGTTATTCACTTCATCTGGTTGGGAATATAACAATCCACTGAATATGGTGATGATTCCTGCACTTATTGCTAAAATTTCAATAGAATTGTTGCTCTCATCAGTGTACGGTTGAAGAAAAATTTGAATTCTAGCAAAGAATATCAATATTGATATTGAGACTAGCATCTTCATTGTTGTTGGTAAAACAAATAGCGCTAATATTAAGATCTTTCTTGTTGTATTGATAAACTCCCAATAAAATTTATCTTTCTTAAGACCTTGATACAAAATCAAAAAGTATTGATTTATTTTGCTTTCAGTTTCTTTCTTAATATTTTTATATAGTAAAAATAGTGCCATAAGAGGTAATGAAACAACCCATACTATGAGTATGGGTCCTGAAACTACAAATAACCAAAAAATATGCTCTGAAGAGTATCATTTCATTGTAGTATCAACTCTTACTCTACTATCATCTACATTTACATCAATACATCTGAACAGACCAAGGCTTTGCTCTGTTAATTTTGGATGGAGTAAGAACAAAATGCTTATGAATGAAATTGCTAAATTTCTTTGTAAACTTTTAACATATTTCCTTTTCACTGCATATATGACAATCCATATTAATGTCACTATTGCTGAAAGGATTAGGGGAAGGAGCATGAGAAGGAAAAGCTTGAATATTGCATTAGAATCAAATGGACCTTTTATCTCTGAATCTCTAATAAAACAATCAATTGATAGAAATGGCTCTGAGGCATCTCCAAATTTTGCAAAGATATCAAAGAATGATATTAGTGATGTTGGATAGCTTGACGTCAAAGACAGTGAAGTGAAAATTAATTGAAAATAGTTTGTCATTATTCTCAATAACACTGAAAGATTGCTCTCTTTAGTTTTGTTAACATTTAATATAATCAACACCATCAAGAAAGAAAAAACAAGAAGACACAATCCAAACACCAAGAAAGCATTAAAAACAGGATCTGGTCATTTGCTTCATTCAAGATTATTTACTTTACTGTACTTCACATTTTCATTAACCACTCACTGTGAACAGAGCTCTCCATGATAGCCTTCAGCACAATTCACCGGATTTAGTGATGAATTTGTGTAGCCCCCATCACAAGCTCTCTTGAACAAGCATTCTGTCACAAATGATGAAGTTTGTGATGGTCTCCAGTATCCAGAGTGTACGCTGATATGATTCCTTCCTAATCACGAAGCATTGTCCATTCATTCTTTGCACTCGGTGGAGTTATATTCGAGTGAGTAAGTACCTGCATCTCATTGTCTTCAAGTGCTCTGCTGAGTGATCTCCTCTCCAGGCTCACAGAACCTGAAATCTACAGAGATATTGTTATTGAAATCTTGCCCAGGAAAAGCAGCTGAAACTTTCTTATTATCAACAGCTTTGGTTGTTGCATAAAACATAATATTTTCTTCACCTGGTTTGTGTGAAAATATAATCCTTTCAACAGTTGCAATTCCTGAATGGAAAACAAAAGAATTGATGCCTGCTACTGTTGAATTTGAATTAGGATAAGCAAATATGCCAACCTGATCTTCATTAGCTAAGTTTAAAACTTGGTCATCATAGTCCAATAAAGCTAGCTGAATAGATGAAGACATTTCAACTCCAGAGCCAATATTAGTTAATCTAAGTTTCGAATTAGGTGAATCTCTCATTCTTATTTTAACTGGATAGCTTGCAAGGTTAGCACCATATTGAGCATAATTATTTACAAAAGTAGAGTTCATAATTTCTGGCCGGAAAAAATTGTAGTGGATGCTTCCTCCCTGTATAGATGCACTATTATTCTCAAAACTACAATTTTCAATCTTGAGTTTACATTTACTAATAGAGCCTCAGTCCAAATCAATAGCTCCTCCCACGTCAGCATTATTGTTTATAAATTCTGAAGAATTGATGGTAACCTCACTGTCAGTTATCTTGATTGCTCCTCCTTTTGTAAAGCTATTTTGCTTTCCATTGCTTGTAAATGTAGAATTATCAATCATGTCAACAAAACTTCTGAAAAGATTAAATGCCTTGAATCAACTTGAAATTTGTATGTTTTTGATCAATTTCACATTAGATTTTGAGATATAACCCACAGTTTTATTAAAGCCATTCACAACTAAAGTATCAATAGACACATTTTGTGAATTCTCTATTTTAAAACTTTGATCTGAACTAGCTTGAATGTCAATCAAAGTGATATCAATCAGTACAACTTTTTCTAATGAATATATCAGCATCAAGTCATCGAACCTAGAGATATTTCTGATCACTGCTGTTTGTACACTCACTTCTCCAGACAAGGCTCTGAACAGCCTGGTGTTGGAGTGTTCGTATGTAACATTATTCATAATAATCTGACTTTCATCATTAGTCAGCAATATTTCTTTTCCAGAATTGTCTTGAATATTTACTAATGTAACATTATTAAGATCAATAGACGAAGAAGTTGCAGTTATTGGAGTATTTTTAAAAGAAATATCTCTGATGATAGATCCTTCAATTCTGATAGAAGCCATAAATACATTGAGGATTTCACCTTGGTTATAAATTTGTGTTCCGTTGATAAACTGCAGAGAACCAGCAACTATTTCAATTATATTTGACCCTTCTGAGGCATTGTAAAGCTGGCTTAATTTGATATAGTCTGTGAAATCTTTCTTCAAGAATCATAATCGAGAACAGTTCCCTGAAGTCTCTTGGAGAAAATCAGTAGGAGTCACAATTGAATTATTATGAATGTTAGTCTTGTCAAAAATACTGATTTGCGATGCATCGAACAGCTGGCCAATAGGAGTCTGAATACCAAAGTTTTCAGAAATCTCAGAGTCATAAAACTTGAAGTATCCATTGCTTAGCACTGAGAATATAGTGTTTCTAACTCCAAAATTATTTCTGGCAAAGCAGGAGTTACATTCAACATAGGCTCCTGACTGGATTGTTAAAAGTGTTGAAATCACTGCAGCATTGTTAGTAAAATTTGTATTAATGAATTTTGCAATGGAGTTAGAACTTGCTTCAATTATTCCAGATCTATCAAATACTATTGATATCGAGTCGAAAATACTTCCAGTAAAACTGGCAATTGCTCTTTCTGATATTCTTACCACAGGTTGCAAGGATGAGGATATATTTCTAAAAGTGCAGTTGCTCAAAGACACTTCAGAAACTGTGTTTGGTATTGTTTTGACATTCATTATAGATATTGCTGTAGACTCTAGTTCAGAAAATACAGAGTTATCCATAATTATTGGGTTAGCTAGGCTTTGAGCAAACAAAAGAATATTTCCAGTGCTCAAAAATGTAACATTTGAAGAATAAAATTCATTGATTTTGAAGGTAAAATCAGCATCGTTAACTAAATTTAGAGTTGAAATTATAGATCTTGAACTTGTATATATTGAGTCTTTGACAGTTATATTACTCATCTCGAAAGATGTCGGAGCACTATTATTGCTTATCATTGATCCAAAAGAAAGAATAGATATCCCACAGTTAGATATAACTACATTCTCAATTGTTGAATTAAGATTCCCAGATACATCAAGAGAATTGATTCTGAATATAGAAGAGTCTTTATCATCTATTTGATTCACCTGGACGTTGTTAGCTCGGAAGTCTTCTATCAGTATGGTTTTTATGATATTAAGCTTAAATACGAACAAACCTGGCTTCATCACACTGTCTACAATATTAATGTGCTTGATCTGGATTATATCTAAGATTGTCGACATATCCAAAAGTCCTCCATTTCCAAAGATGAATCCTGATACAGATATATTCTGAATTATTGTAGGAGTAAATGGAAAGTTATTCAAAGAGATGAATGATAAACTTTCTGAAATTGGGCCAATAACATTAGATATTTTGATGTTAGAAATCTCTAATGAACCAATGAATATAAAGCGTATCAGATTTGTTCTGTATAATCCAATATTCTCAATAACACAAGGATTTGATTCCAAATTTCCAAAAGTAACCCTTTGGAATATCATTGCTATTAGTAAATCAGAAAGAATTCCAGAATTTTTAAAGGTAATCTCTTCAAAATGAACAGAGTCCATCATTGTTCCGGTCCATGCCAATGGCGAGAAAAAAGTATTTTGATACCCAAAGAAAACTGCATTTTTAGTAGTAATAGTAGTCGGCCTATAATGAGAATTTGAAATATCAGCTCCAATAAAATTAACTTTATCACCTCTATCATTGTTCACTGACATAGAGATATTCTCAAAGGTAGACACTTGGATAAGATCATCTTCTGGAACACAAATCGCTTGAATAACATACACTAAAGTACCACTGATAGAATTTACACTTGAATAAAAATCCTCTGAGACCACATTTCTGACAGTCCAATTCCCAGGCAAGTTACATCCAAAGCCTACTGGTTCTACAAGGGTCATTCTATCTTTCGAAGTCATAAATGTAAGGCCGTCAATGTCCACTATCGGAGTCTTGTAAGCTTCCGGATAGTTGCACCCTACTCTGATAAAGAAGATATTCTTCAAATTGTAAGTGTCGAATTCTATGTTCCTGATGTAGCTGAAGGAGTTTAGATAGGTGTTGACGAGTGAAGTTAGGTGACAAGATTGATGGGAAAATAATGTAACAAGATGGTGTAAATTAGTTTTGGAAAGAAGGGGCTGAACTTACATGTTAAAAGGATCTTGTGTGTCCCATAGAGTTCCAGTGATGTTTATCATCATATTTGCTAGATCAAAGTTAAACATCATATTTACAGAAACTTGCAGTTTTGTTTTGAAGGTATATTCCTTGAAGGAATATTATATTCTTATTATAGTCTTCCTCTTCTCTGTATAAATCAATATTTTGAATAGTGAGTCCTGATCTGATTATCATATTTCCACTTCTGCCATTAATTTTAACAAGTTCACTTTCTGTAAAAGATCCAGCACTGATAATAGTATCAATAGGTAAATCTGAAGATGTCAGAAGATGAAATCTAGCTTTTTTGCTAATTCCTGCTTGAGAGAACTCAGTTGGAGTAATCAAAGCCTTTTTATTGTTGTCTGTTAGATCTGGATGACTTTGTATCACTATTTCTGTGATATTAGCAACAACCAAAGTTTTATCTTCAATGTAGACATCTCTCACATTCACAATTATACTCACATTCTTATGAGAAAGAAAAGTAAGAATCTCAGAACTGACTGATTTCATTGTCCTGTAAGGGTACTTTCTAGTTCCTAGTTCTATTATTTCAAAGCTAGTCGGATCAACATAATATTCTGGGCTTCTTCAAGCTCTCTCAATAAATAAGTTATGCCCTTTAATTTCTATTTGAGATGGTTGGCAATCAGTTACACATGCTAGTGTATCAAGGTCTAAGCTTTTCCCTGGATCTCAAATTATACACTCAAGTCTACTATTACACCTTCCAAATCAAGTTCCGTCTCAATTTCTTCAAACCTTCAAAGTCTCATCAAAATACTCATCTTCACCACAATGAGTTCAAAGAGAGGTATCAGTATCAAACCTCATAAACTCCTCACAACTATCTCACGCTGTGCTATCAGAACAAGTCTTGCATGAACTATCACAAGGCATACATCCTTTCCCATACTCAAAATACCCATCCTGTCACTTCGCCACAACTCCAGTCACAACCACTAAGACTACCACAACTCAAGCAATCATCCTTCTTATCCAAGTCACCTATTCCAAAATTAATAAACCCTCAGAATCCCCAGCTATAACTTTCTACCATAATTCCCAATATTATTCTCAAAGTCTATCCTTAATCCATAATAAGAGGTTAAAATTCCGGAATTATGCAGCAAATTGGAAAACTGGTGGTATTTTAAAAACAAGTATTTTTGAATGGGAATTATGGATTTTAGGAGGAAAATTTTATGTTTGGGGAGATGGAAACAACTGTATTGGGAATGGAGGTGGGTAGTGGGAGATATTAAGCTTTGGCTCTTGGATTGTATTACAAAGAAATAATTTAATAATAGTAACTTAAAGTCAAGAATTTGAAGAATTTAAGTGATGAAAGAAACACAAGCCCATATTTTAGATATTTCTATCTTGGTTTAAACTGATTTATAGTGAAAATAATTATAAGGTAAGAAATTTATAATCGTGCTAAAAATCGAGGTTAATAAAATAAAGTTATTAATAAAAATAAGCATGGCTTTCTTGAAAAGAGAGTTTTCAAATACTTCTAGCGAGTTTAGCTCTATCTCACATTGAAACTTGGTAGAGAAAATTGTATAAAATAGAACTCAATGCTGAGCTCTTTTTTGAAGCTAGTTTTGGTAATTTTTATAAAAAGCTTACCAAATGAACGTTTTGTGTAACCATGTTATTATATAATTATTTCAAGAAGATCATACCATATGGCGTTAAGAGAATAAGAAAGAGTAACATTTTTACTTCAAAATACTCTTTGAATAGTTTCCAATCGATAGATTAAACCTGAGAGCATAAATATCGTAAGTAAATATGTTTATTTTCATAGTTCGCCAGTAGCTTTTGAATTTATAATATTTGCTCCTTCTATTTACTAAATTGGAAAATAAGGTTAAGACAAACTAAGCTAAGGAAAAGGATATACTTTTGAGAATTTAGCTTACTGTTCTATTGATAAATGCTTATATTTTAAAATGTTAAAAATTTACAGCCAAGTCTCACAGACACGTTCATTTCCCCCTATTGTTCAGGACTTCAGTGGGGTTCCAGCTAGGTTTGAGGTTGGCTTTTGACTGGTGCAGGGTTGAGGTTTTAGTCGGAGTGAACCCGATTTTGAAGTTTGTTCTAGTGTAGTTGATCCTAAAATGGAGCTGGAGCTCAGAATAAGCTCCATTTCTACAGGAACAAATTTTGAGTCCCAGCTCCTTTCTTCCTCTTGATTTTCTAAAAATACAGTCCCACCCCCTCCTCCTCAATTTTTAAATATTAATCCATTGTTAATATTCATTTTTAATTTCCAATAAATATTGACAGTAATGGGGTTTTGGGGTTTTGGGGTTTTGGGG